CCAATTCAAGAGAAAGTCTGATGGGGAAAAGAAAGATTTTTAATCTATTTAAAATGTTAGCAGTTTTATACTATAGAAGATAAAAAAACAGACAGGTAAGAAATCATTCAAACCTCTATATGCCAATGTTCTCAGTTGAATTGGGCTATTTTTTTGCACAGACTTTGTCAGGTGAATGTATTTCATATTTTTAAAATGCCACTTGAATTCTGCAATCCTGGAAGTAAGATTCTTAAAATACTGGAATCCTATACTCAAAATAGGCTTTCTTTCTAAAGTAAATGTTACAAGATATCTGTATATTTCAAAATGGATTTTGTTGCATCTCTAACAAATGTTTATTGAGTGTCTACTATGTGAAATCCAAGTTTGGGGCACTGGGAACAGAGTAGTTAATAAAACAGATAAAAAATCCTGGCCTTCAAGAAACTTACGCTCAAGGGAAAATCCTATATAGTTAACAAAATAAATAACTGAAACATAGCCTATTAGATGGGGAAACACTAGGTAAAATAATAAAGTAAGGAAGGGGGTAGAGAATTGGGGGTGGGTTGCAATTTTAAGTAGGCTGGTCAAGGAAGGCCCCTTTGAGAGGCTGCGTTTAAGCACCTGGGGAAGGTGCATCCTAGCAGAAAGAATAGCAAGTACAAAAGCCAGTGTGGCTGGGTGGTCTGAGCAAGGGAGAGAGTAGAAGAGAGGGAGGAGGTCAGAGAAGTGACAGGGGACAGATTGGTAGGGGATCATAGGCCACTGAGATGTGGGATGGAAAGCCATTAGAGAGTTTTATTTAAAGCATTAATGTGATCTGGGTAACTTTTTTATTGCAATATAATTCACATAACATAAAATTCACCCTTTTAAAGCACACAATTCAGTGGTATTTAGTAGAGCCACGAGGTTGTGCCATCATTACCACTTCGAACTCCAGAACATTCTCATCACCCCAAAAAGAAACTCCACACCCATTAGCAGTCACTATCCTTTCCCACCTCCTCTTCAGGTCCTGGCAACTACTAATGGACTTTCTGACTCTACGGATTTGCATATTTTGGTCATCTCACAGAAACGCAATCAAACAATATGTGGCCTTTTGTATCTAACTTACTTTTTACTTGGATCTCTCTGGCTGCTGAGATTAGAATAAGCTGAAGAGAGGCAAGGACAGAAGCAGAGAGACCAGTGAAGAGATGAATGCAATAATTTATCTGAGAGACGAGAGGGGCTTGAGATAGGATGGGAAGTGAGATGGTGAGTGACAGCCTGGGTACATTCAAATAGACTAGATGTTAGGTATGAGAGAAAGAAAAGTCAAGGACAACTCTTAGGTTTTTGTCTTGGGCACCTGAAAAGATGGAGTTGACATCAACTTAGAGTGAAGACTACTGGAGGGGCAGGTTGGGAGAAAACACCAGGGACTCGATTTTGGAGATGTTAATTAAATCTGGGATGCCTCTTAGCCTTCTCTGTGAAGATGTCAAAAGAGGAGACTGATACGACTCTGGAATTCAAAGGACAGGTCTGGGCTGGAGATACAAATTTGGGAGCTAGAGGATAGAAGGTATGGAAGTTTCATACCATGAAACCAGATGAGATTGCCAAAGGAGTGAGTGATTAAAGACAAGAGATTGAAGGATCCTAGGATATGTCAATATTTACAGGTCAGAGAGACAAGGAGGAACCAACAAAAAAAAGAATGAGAAGGAAACACCAATAAAGTGGGAGAAGCAAGAGAGAATGGAGTCTTAAAAAACAAATGAAAAACTTATCACGGAGGAGGGCATTGTCAACTATGCCCAATGCCACTGATGGGTCAATGATGAGGGACTGAGAATTAACCACTGGATTTAGGAACATGGCAGGCAGTCATTCATGGACCACATATCTTCTTCCCCCTCTCTTGCTCACTCCACTCCAGCCACATCCACCTTTGCATTTGCCATTTCATCTCCAGGCGTGTGCCTTCCCAACATATGGCTTTGAAAAGAACCGTTTGAGTGGAGCAGGGAGGTCAAAAGCCTGACTGGAGTGGGTTCAGGTGACACTGGTAGGAAAGGAATTGAAGTTAAGGGCAATTCTTTCGAGGAGTTTGGTTGTAAGGGGATGGAGAGAAATAGCTGTAATGATGGTGGCGTAAAGAGAGAGCTTTTTCGAGATGGGAGAAATAAAAACACATTCATATATTGGTGGGACATGTCTAGTACGGAGGGAAACAGATGATGAGGGAGGGAACAGAGAATTGCTGAGATAGATTAGAGAGGAAGAAATTAAACACATTTTATCTGTTTGTCAGATAATCAACAATTAAAATATAAAACATCTACTGATCCAGGAAAATCAAGTAAGGACAAGCTATTTTTTCCCCAGAAGACACAAAAACCACCATCATTTAAAATTACCTGGATCCAATATTTTCAAGGCTGAAGATATCAGATTAACTGTACACAGTGAGTCAGGGTCAGGGTTAGGCTCTGGGCTTGGAGTCACAAGACATCAAGTTCAAGGACCATGATAAGTTGCAATACACCAGAAACTTCTTTTGACTTCTGTTTTTCATCCATAAAACACTGATTAAAGACAACCTGTCCTCTCTACCTTATAGAATTGATGTGATGATTAAATAAAATATGCAAACATTGTTTGTAACTCCTAGGTGTGATGCCCCTGTAAGGCATTTTTACTGTTACTAGATAAGGAAGAATTGCACATGCTTGGTCTTACTCCAACACTCTACACTTCAGCTCCAAAAAGTGGAAAAAAGGCAAAATGAAAAATTTTTGGAAGAATAAGTAATTAAAGCATGGAACAATAGAAGCTTGCTGGTTATGTACTGTATTTAAAACACACTTAATAAGTTGTACACGAACTATGCCTTAATTTCCACCTTTTAAAAAACTCAACAACCAAAAAATCCCCTAGTTTAGATTCAGCTAAGCCTGGGGCAAAAAAAAGCAGTACACTAAATTTGACTGTAGGCCTGAAGTAAGACCATACTTTAAAAAAAAAAGACATGACCTAATATCTATCCATCTATCTATTTTATTCTCCATGTTCCCTATCACCTGCCAGGATCGACTCAAATCAAAAGACTATTTGATCCTTAACTTCTTGCCCAATAGAGACATTGGTAGGTGTTTAAAGGAACTTTTTTGTTATTATTTTTATTCATTAATTAATTTTTAATTCTGGCAGCTTAATATACGGACCAAAGCTCTCTTTAAGGAAAATATATCTTACAGGGTATCTTGATCTAGCCATCAACTTTTCTCCTTTTTCTTCAGGTAAACTAAGACACAAAGGTGTGTGCTCATTTTTTCTATGAAACAAGAATGAGGGTATCAACTTTTATCAAGGAACCATTAAGTTAACATAAAGAATTCTGAGAGGGAATTTACAGTAGACACCAAAGTTGAATTGACTTTATTACTCAGCTCCCCCACACCTTTGACCAGAAAACTTAGATAAGAACTCAGCTGGCCATGAGATCTCATGAGATTTTAAGGAAAGTGTGAAAGACAGAATATACAAGGAAATAACACACTCACTCACACGCACACACACACCTCCCCCCATATATACGTGTATGTATGTATGTCACTTTCCTTGAAAATATGTCTATATCTCTCTATATACGCACATTGGCAGAACAATCAGAGCTTCCTTGTGAAATCAATGTGTACACTTAACGTATAATGAATAGGAAAAAGAACTTAATTTTTTCTAATTATAAAGATATCTTTGTATCTTTGCATTTATGACATTGTGTATCAATAACCTATTAGATACTGATTCCTTAGTCAGAATTCTAATCTCCCGTTAAAACTCCAGTAACTCTTATTTAAGTAAAATAATTCATTTTATGGTGATCTACATTATAGAGTTTCTAGGAACAAATTATTCTGATCTACCTCAAGCCTCTTCTTAGTCACACACTCCAGCATTATTGGGGAAGGACTTATTTAGAGTGATTATTTTAAGTTAAAACATCATTTAAAGCGCCCAAGTCATTTCAAGCATCAGTTTTGAGTATTTTTGAAGAAAGTTTCATCATAATACACATTCCCCTAATATAATGTTATTATAATAATTAAAAACATAATTAATATAATGTCATAAGTAAAATTAACATAATGTCAACTATTTTGGATTACTTAGGGTCATTCTTATGAATATCCAGTAATAGACTACATTATAAACATCTTTATAAACTCCGATTTTGCTGAGGAGCGTGGAGCTGTCCAGCCTCATTTTAGGTAGAACCAGGCTACACAGGGTCTGCCCCTTACAGCTTTTCTGCCTCTCCTGCCTTGTCAGGAGGCCACCAGGCATTTCTTGCTCCTGTCAGCTTGCCCATATCTAGCAGGCTCCCCTGTCTCCATTCCATTAAGCTATCTTTTGATTTAAAAGTGGCAGAAAGAGCCACAGTCTCAAAGTGAAGCGGCTCTGCCACAACCCACCCGCATGGCCCTGGACAAACCACTGAATCACTTAAGAAATCTGTTTCTTTGTCTACACAATGCAGGAACCGGCCTGAATGACCTTTAAGTCCCATCCAACATTAAGACTTTATGACGAATCTCGCTAAGGGCTGGGAAAACTAACATCTAAGTTGATGAGAACCGTGTCCAAAGAAAGAACAGAGAAACTCTGAGAAAGGCTCTCAGAGGTTCCTGTACCTGGTGCATGGAATTTATAGCATCTTATTTTCACTACGTCACGGACTTTTAGGTCTTCTAGGTTCTTTGTTATATTTCCAGTAAGTGAGGTTCTGCATTGAATAAATCATGTCCAGATAAATGGGACAGAATTACATTAAGAGCTTTTTAAAAAAGAAATTAAATATGACTCTTAAACATACTTCTTTCACATAAAAGATAAGAATTCAAGAGGAAATTTTCAGAAATCCACAGAGTAAATTATTCCTTTACGAAAAATGTTGTTTCTAAATGCATTTCCATTTGATATACCAACAACATGACACTACATACTAAAAAATGATTTACCTATAACTACATCATGACCATCAACCAAGCCAGCAGAGAAGAGCTCCTGAGAAACGCCATCTGCTGTGTCTGTCCAAATGCAAAATGAATACATATTAGTAATCATAAAATAAAAATCAACAACTCAGTACAACGTAAAATATATATTTTTCATTTACAAAAATCACCCACATGTGTTTTAATTCAACAATTCAGATTCTAACAGAAGCAATGTGAAATACACTTTGCCATGTACAATTTGCAACTTGCTACTTAACCAAAAGAAGTTACACAAAATTATTGTTTCATTTTTGGTGAACCGAGAAACTTCTGCCCTTTGGCTACTGTCTGAATTAATCCTCAAATGCACTTCTAGAAGTTATCTCATAACTGGTCCTTACAACACTGCTTTTCTTTCTTGCGAACATTAATTCCAGCCATCATCAATCCTTTCCTATCATTAATAGCTACTGAGTCAGAATTTATGGCAAAGGTTGAATAGGTAGCATTTGATACAACCTAATATTTGGTACAAACAGCCTAAGAGCTTATTGGACTATTAAGATGAGCTATTTAAATTTATGCTATTAAGAAACTCCTTTAACATGACATTGATCATTTGATAGCAACAGACTCATTCTCTCTGAAAATGTGGTTGAATAAAAGATGTAGTTTCTCAATGATAAGTGACAGGAGTTAGCAATCTCATAAAGATGGGACTGAACAGGCCATAGCAAGTGAATATAGCTGAAATTACTTAATTGAAAGGTTACGAATGAACATGATAATAATGTGAAAGCTGTTTGAAGACTTTGTTAAGAGAAATTGATAAATTACAATGTGATCAAAAGAACTATTATGAACTCCCAGGTTTTTACAAGGAAGATGCCATGGTCCCCCCATGGTCTTCTGATATTCTCACAAACATCCAGAACTGCAGCTGGAAAGAAGAAACCGGCTCAGCAGATGGAGGATTGACTTTAGTGTCTTCCAAAGTCAGGGAGTACCTGACAGTATAGCTGCTGAATCAAACAAGCATCTAAACTGAACTGTGGTTTGCTCTGCCAAAGGCTGCGCTCCACACAGACTGAGTTTCCCTGCTTAATCTACGTTTCGGATGCGGTGACTGTGTAAGTGGGCTCGAGTTTGTGTGTGTGCATGTGGGCATGTAGCTGGAGGTACAATTATCTTTCAATATTCCTGGGCTTTAAAGAGCTTAGCCCAGTGTCTTACCCAGTAATTACTCAGTAAATGGTAACTGCAGTGATGATGCAGCAGCCAAAGATCATCTGAAACGCATCTTACACTCTTGTGTACTCTCTTTCTCCCTTTCATACATGGCCCAATTTCCCAAATCTCCAATAAAAATTTGAGAGCCAGTATATATTTTTTGTACTTCCAGAGAAATTGTGCTATTCTATCATTTTACTCATTCCATTGCATAATGAATGGAATAAAATGAAGGAAATGGAAAAGAAATACATAGGAATCTTAATAAACTGAAATTCCATATAAGGTGGGCTTATCTTGGGCCTTGTCCTTACTGCTAGAAGTACAAAAAACACCTTATAAAATTCTCTTAGGGATAAAATGATCCCCTAGCATGGAACCTAGGGTAACACAATGAAAGGCTCTATTCTGAATGTGATTTAGCATTATGAAGTCAGCTAGAACATTCGGCCTCACAATCTCCATCTTCCTGGATGCCACAGGAAACTTCAGGAAATGAAGCTTATTGAATTAAACTACCGAATTAAACCTACTAGGGCACACAGTAGGCAGTCATTACATTTCTATTGATTGATCATCTGTTAAAGCATCTGAATGTGTTACCAGCATCTCTAAAGTATCGATACTTGAGTACGGAACTACGTTCACAGAAGGTAGTTGAAAATGGAATAATCAAACAAAGCAACATTGAGGGCTAGCACTAAAACGGTAGCAAAACAAATGACATTCCCAAATGATCAAAGTGTACAGCATCTCCTACTATTTTCAGGACTCCTGGGTACCAGATGAGCCATACTAAAACAGCAAACAGTCACGTTGCCTGGCCAAAAACGGAAATTTTCTGCGTTTGTTTGTGCGTGCCATCAAGCAGTTATTTTGTATGCAGATAAGTAATGTATCAGAAATAGTTTAGAACAGAAAGGTGAAGGTAATTGGTAGCTTATTTTTCTTTAAGCTGCTTAACATTCCTGATGTGTAAACAAGCTAGATAATCAATATGCTCTAGTTTCCAGCGCATACAGCAACATAATAGACACAAAGGGCTTGCCCTCAAATGAGGCCAGAGAATATGTGATATGTTTATGTTATATACTCTAGTCATACATACATATTTATGTGTAAATACAGCACAGACAGAGTACACATGTTGGGTGCATACACAGCTGTAGTGCAGACAAGGTCTGAAATGGAGGCAGCATCAGCAATCTCAGAGGTACAGTAATATATCCATGGTGTTTCCGTTATGGACCTGTGCTCGCTGCCCAGGAAAAGCCAGCTATCATCAGGAAGCCAATGCTATGGTTTCTGTTTGGGCAACAAAGATTCTTAATCTAACCATGGCAAACGAGGCCGCCAAAGCCAGTACAAAGGACCAGGTAATGCTGATAGGCCTCTCTTATACCCCCAAAGTCTTCAACTCAGAAATTCATTTCTTTGTCACCTCTTGAAATTAAAATAGATTTTTATTGCCACTGTCAATTTTAAATAATCGGATGAAAACAACCTACCTTAAAATAAGAATCTGTTCTTTTACTTACTGTACTTGAAACATTTATTATTTAATTACTAGATTTTATCACAGTGTTAGTTGGTCAATATTTTTATATTATAACAAAATAGACAGCTTTTTGATAACAGTAACTGGTGTTGTACAGTTTCACAGACCAACTCTAAATTCTCAAAGATGGATGTTCCCAGAAAGAAAGATCAATTAGCAAATTCATTAGGGTTTTATTTACATTTTTTTTTGTAAAAGGTACTTCATATGTTAGCTTAATTTAAATATACTGGCAATCATTAAACCTTTGTGCTTACAGAGGACAAGAGTTTAGAGCCGTGATGTGAGTCTATGACCACATATGGCCCAGGAACATACTTTGTTTGGCTGGCAGTGTTTTTTAAAAAACTGAACCTGAAGGTTTTTAGACAGAACTTTCTAGTTTCCTGAGGTCCCCACCATTCACTTTGGCTCCTGTAAGCACTTGAGTCTGTGTCTTCTCACAGACCATAACAGCAGGGAGATCAAACCAGTTAACTGACTGAACAGATATCAAGCTAGAAAGTTTCGGGTTTTTAAAATTTTACCAAAATAATTTATTTAATCAAATCAAAATTTATGTGGAGCTCTAATACATAAAATAATTACAGTGTTATTAGCTTACATATATTAATACATTCAAATGTATGAGACTGATGTATTTGAGAGAGATATTCAATATAGACATCGAGGCTGTCTTCACGTATATAAGAATCTGAAACCAGAGGTCAGGGAGAACAGTTACAGTCTTAGCATTAGCATCTGATTTTCACCGCTCTAGGTTGTTCTGGTTATAAACTAAATGGTGAAAATAATTTTTGTTTAACAACTAATCTTGTGGTCTCCAAAGCCTGTTTATATATGTTATTTATCCATTAATTAACCAAAATTACTTGAGAGTCCCCTGTGTACCAGGCACTTGACAGATGTAAGAGATACCTAGAAACAAGACCTGTTTCTGTGACATCCAGACATCCAAGAGCTGAAAGAGAAACCAGTCTAGCCTTTAAGCTGTTTTAATAATAACTATTTAAAATACTAAAATTTTATTCAGCTGCAAGACTGGCATTGTTCCTACCAAGCCTACCAGTGGTGCCTGCAGCAAACAGAGGCCACAGAGACTCCCCAACACAGGCTTTATGCAATCTGAACTGAGAACAGAGAGGCAAAGTATGTTACCTTTTTGTATGATATCACTGCTTGTTGCTCAACCCTCATTAGGACTGCTGTGTGCTTCTCAGCACACTCATCCCAAGGTCCTTTAGGCCCTGCATCATCATGTCAGTACCTCTTTTCATGGTTGAGCTAATACATTTAATCTATACGTGTATATATATTGTGCAGTATACGTCACTGGGATTCATACAGTCAGTAGTGGTTCAGTTTCAATTCCCCACAATTATTGCAAATCCTTCCTTTTTTCCTTTCTCCCCTCCCTCCTTCCTTCCTTTGTTTTTAGAGAAAGCATTTTTGAATAGCAAATTATAACCGCATGTTTGTAATCAATTTCTGAAATGCTCTTTGTAGCAATAAAATAATAATTTCAATTAAAACTTACCTCTTCCTGGAGTAAACTCAAATCGTATGTCATTAAGTTCCTTTCTGGAGTTTCTGAAACACATAACATATAGCACATTAAAATCTAATGAAGCAGAGTTTAATCAAACTAAATGTATTCTAGTTTTTACAAGATGCTACTAACATGTAGAGAACATTTTACAGTTTTGAGTTACCTCCAAATACTTCCTCAACTGGAAGAGATAGTTATAATAATAATAAAGGGAGATATTTGTTTTGTTGATTGAATTTACCTTATATAAACATGCTTACATCACAAAATTCCAAAAATAAAATGTTCATTGTATAAAATCTACACTAAATCAGTAACCTTAAATATAATTTCATAATTAAAATTTTCAGAAGCTTTTAGTCTAGAATAAATAATACTCAATACATTTTTCACCTTTTCCCTAAGAAAACAGTATTTTATCAAATTATTTTTAAAAGTGAAACAGGGAAGATAGTTGTAGCGATGAAGTTCATGACAGCACTGCATATTAAATCATGCAGCAAAACGCCCAGGATGAGGTGTATATATTGTAGTTAAAAATTTTATCTAAATAGAGAGGGACCTCTAAACGTTACTAAATTACCCATTGGATATATAAAACTTTATTTAAGTAAATATAAAATGCTTACATAAAACTGTAATATATGCATATACTATATATATTCAATCAAAAAATCAAACAACACTGGGGAAATATGGAACAAGTAAATATCTAAGATATGAGTTTTCCATTTATTTTAATTTCAAGAAACGATAATGAGGGGCAATGGGCTATAATTAGAATGGTTTTAAATTCTCATAAGAACACTAAAATATTATGAGTAACTCTCAACAGATGCTAAATTAAAGTTAATAAAAACACCTTAAGAAACTGCAGTAGGAAACATGAAATAGTAATTTCTGTAAGCACTCAACTATTTGCTCAGCCACTGAGGGTGTCTGAGACAGAGACAGATGGCCTGAATACCCATCCCTGAACATCCTCCTTCCAGAGCCAGGAGAGTTTGATCAAATCCCATTTAGTACTCCAGTACTCTAAAAGTCTGGGTAATATCTCCTGGTCCCTATGTACAGTGTCCAAATCATGAAGACGCCAGTCTCTGGGCCCTTTTTGGTCTGTAGCCTGATCTTCGTTCTTTACGTCCTACCACACCCTACACCACACTAAGTGTGAGGAGGCCCAGAAAGATGACGAAGGCATGGTACCCACAGAAAGCCCTTCTCCCCAGTGCCTAGAGAAGCTGGCCCAAGTCTAACACCTTTCCACAAACAGAGAAGTAAAAGGTCAAGAACTCACGAGATGCCCAAGCCCAGGCCACAGACAGAGGAGCCTTGAACCACTTCGCATCTCATCTCAGGTGTCCCCATCTTGACTTTATCACTACTCGTCTCAGAGATAGAATGTAAGCAGGGAACATCAGCCATTCCTACAGCTGTGTTTCTTTTAGGACCTTCTGAGACTCTGAAAATTGTGGACTCTCACTCTAAAAAAGTAGACATACGACCTACACATGAAACTGCAGACAACTGTGGATGGTTCAGAGATCATCTTGGACCCCAGACTAAGCAACCCTGCCCTGGAGGTGGGGAGATGGGGTGTGCCATGAACAATCAGCTCCTGCAGCAGAAACACTGCATGTTGGATTGTTTAAACAGTCTAAATTTTCTTAATAAACTACCAATGTCACTGCAGATTTACATAGTGCTTTCATATGTATCAGCAGTTCTCAAACTTTTTGGTTTTAGGACCCCTTTACATTCTTAAAAAGTATTAAGGACCCCTAAGGAACTTTTGTTTATGTTATTTATTAAATATCTATCAATATTTACTGTAGTGGAAATTAAAACTGATAAATTTTAAAATATTTATTAATTTATTTGAAAATGACAATAATTAACACATCACAGGTTAATCTAAAAATAATTTCCTATGAAAAATTACTTTCCAAAAGAAAAATCAGTGAAAAGAGTGCATTATTTTCTATTTTTGTAAACCTCTGTAATGTCTGGCTTAAGATAGCTGGATTCCTATATTTGCTTCTGTCTTCAATCTGCTGCAATATCACACATTACGTAGCCAGCCATTGGAAAATTCCACCATATATATGTGAAAGAATGAGAGTGAAAAAGGCAAATAGTTTCTTAATATTATTACAAAAATAGTTTCGACCTCATAGTCTCCCTGAAAAGCTCTCAAGGACCCCCATGGGTAACAGCACCACACTTGGATAAACACTGATATCCAATGTCATGAATCAAATCTCACTTGATCCAACAATCAACCTTTGAGATACACAAAGTTGGTATTACTTGTCTTCCATTTTCTAGGTAAGTTCAATGGCTTTTCCAAGTTTACAAATTTAATGAGTGGTAGAGTGAGGACCAAGAATCCTATATTGGAAATACCTAAAACAAATAGACATGCTCAATTCCTTTCACTTTTGAGAGAAAATAATATTTCCTAAGATTTTGCATGTTACCATAAAAAGATCAGCGAGCATTCATTTACTTAATAGACTTGGTTTTGTGCGCTGTATATCAGCAAAGGTTGAATTAGAACTAACACAATCCAATAAGAAAAAATGGTCACTAGGAAAGCAGGTATTTATAGTGTATTTAATAATGAAATGACAGAAGGAGAAAAAAACGAAAAGGAATTTGATTTGACGCTAATTTATGTCATCATTCCTTTCTTCTCTTTCCTTTGATCAGTCTTGTCTAAATTAGTTTGTTCTACAAAGGCCATGAGAAGAGAGAGATAAGAACTGTACCCAGAATATTATCATGCACATCCTGATTCTTTACATATTAATACCACCAAAGTAATATCCAACAGCCATAATCTCTATCTACATCAACTGTGGCTCACGTTATGAAGGTTGCCTAGTCAAGTCATTCTTTTATGACTCTGAACCTCTAATACCTGCCGCCTTTGAAAAGATCACAGTGATTGATTGTGAATAGTAGACCTGTCCCATCAGGATGAAATATAGCTGGAAACATGCCTAATTGGATCTAACTACTGAAGGTCATCCTTTTATAAAGAATTAATCTTTTCAGACTCATACTTAACACCTTTAATTGAAAGTACATTTACTTTAATTGATATGGCACAGGATACTCTTAATTTCAGGGAAGCTGAAAATAGGCATGATTTAAGGCCAGAGACTAAGTCTGTGCAACTTTACAGAGGAAACGCTTAAAACTTGAGAGTAATAGCTTTAAGACCGAGGCTACCTTTGATAACTCTTATTAAAAACCCTTTTAATTTTTAAAGAAAAAAACTTAAATTTGGTAAGGCACAATCCCTTCTCATTGTATGTGTATATGGCATAAAAAATGCAAATACCTACAGGGCTCAGGCAGGAAATTTATTTTTTAAAATAGGTGATACAATCACATGGTTTAAAAACCAAAAGGTACTATAGGGTACTGTATTCTGTAAAAACTAGCCCTCTCACTCTTGTCACTCAACTACCTGATTCACCTCACAGAGGTGATCATTGCTATATGCTTTTTGTGCATCCTTCCTGAGATGTTTCATGCATATTCTAGCAAATATACATACATAGTTTCTTCCAGCCTGTTTAATACAAATGGTAGCATACTATATCCACTGTTCCGTACCTTTCTTCTTTTTTAACTTAAAAATATACCTTGAAATTTCTCCATATTGGTTCATAGAGCTTTCTCATCCTTTTTTTTTTTTTATAGCTACATAGTATTCTGTTGTATGCTATATCCTTTTTTTAACCAGTTCCCATTCTGTGAACAGATTGTTTCCAGTCTTCCACTATTATAAATAATGCTTCAATGAATAACCTTATTCTTATGTCATTTTGCAAATATGTGAGTATAAAAATAAATTTCTAGAAGCAAATTGCTTGGTCAAAGGATATATGCATTTGCAATTTGATAGATATTGTCAAACTCCCCTTCATTTAAGTTGTACTCTCTCATTTATGCTCTCACAAGCAACTTGGAAGCTCCGCTGCAGGAACTTGAAATGAGTAAAGCAGGAAATGTATTAAAAAAAAAAACAGGGAGATGCGGTGACTGTGCCAGCTGGAAAGCTTCCCATTTAAAGGGGGAAACCACTACTCAGCACCAGCTGGGTAGGCCAGGCAGGAATTCGGGCTCAATGTTGCTAAATATTCAGATTTTTCAGAGAAGCTGGAAATTTGAAATTTTCAGTACCAACAAACATTTTTTTGCTATGTCCATTCAAAGCGAGAAGTTGGGAAATACAGATGGGCATGCATAAAGTTTTTCTTCTTACTCTTTCAATTCATATACAAGGGACATAGTGAACACTCAAACAAGGCAGCTGGCTAAGAGGGTGGTGACGACAACACGTGAGTGAACACGTAACCCTTCCTGATGGTAGAAATACAGAAGGCCCATGCAGCTGAAGTATATATTTCACAGGATGTAGCATCTTTCTGCATCTCTTAATATACCATGTCAGGATAATCTGACAGAGTTATCACTCCTGGAGGGCTCCAAAGCCAAAACGCCAACTTAGGACTACTCACGTTTTTCAGCTTCATGTTAATGGCTCTTAGCTCATGCCAACAAATGTATGGCAGCACACACACCCTAAGAACAGATGTGATTAAAAGGCTTAGAAGTCCAAAGAGCACTTGTTGTCAAAGGACATCATAAGCTGTAAGTGTCACTGGCATTGCATACCCTCCACCACAGCGATGCTCCAGAGCAAGTCTGAAAGTCAACCTTTTTCCCAAGCTCTGAGGTTGAAGGGTGCAGTCAGGGTACTGCCACCCAGGATCTCTGTAAGGGTGGCAGGTACAGTGTTTCCTAGGGATCCAGAGGTAGCCCCTCCCTCCTAAGCAGCAGAGGATTTCTTAGCCAACAGCTCTCTTCTTCAAGATCCAAGAAAGTCCAGAGGGATCCCCACACACTCCTGGACTCCTGGAGTGTCTCCCCCTATTGGGACCAGGATGGGAACCTTTCAAACAGGCTGGGCCAGGAATCAGTTAGGACAGCATTTTTAGTTCAGCTTGCTTCTTTTCTACTCTCA